TCTCCGAGGCTGACGTGAGAAAAACTCAAAAGCATGAATACTCCCAAAGCCGCTGGCACAGATGGCATCCCTGGCGCGTCCTCAGAGTGTGTGCTGACCAGCTGGCAGGCGTCTTCGCAGACATTTTCAACCTGTCCCTGTCCCAGGCTGTAGCCCCCACCTGCTTTAAGGAGAACACCATCGTCCCAGTGCCCAAGAAAAACAAGGTGACATGCCCAAATGATTATTGCCCCGTCGCACTTACCTCGGTCATCATGAAGTGCTTCGAGAGGCTGGTTTTAGCTCACATCAAGGCCAGCATGCCAGGCACACTAGGCCCATTCCAATTTGCCTAAAGCTCCAACAGATCCACGGAAGATGCCATTTCCATCGCTATCCACACGACCGTAACACATCTGGACAAGAGGAACACCTATGTGAGAATGTTGTTCGTTGACTACAATTCAGCATTCAACACTATTGTTCCCTCCAAACTCGACACTAAGCTCAGGGCCCTGGGTCTGGACACCACCCTCTGCAACTGGATCCTGGACTTCCTGAAGGGCAGACCACAGGCTGTGAGGATTGGCAACAACACCTCATCCACACTGACTCTTAACACAGGGCCCCCCCAGAGGTGTTTCCTCAGTCCTCTGCTGTACTCCCTGTTCACCAATGACTGCGTGGCTTTGCTTGACACCAACTCCTTCATCAAGTTTGCTGATGACACTACGGTTGTAGGCCTGATAACATATAGGGAGGAGGTAAGTGAACTGGCATTGTGGTATCACAATAACAACCTCTCCCTAAACGTCAGCAAAACAGTTGATTGTTCACTTCAGGAAGCAGAGGAGGGAACATGCCCCGACCCACATCAATGGGACTGTAGAAGACAGATTCACAAGTTTTAAGTTCCTCTGCATCCACATCACTGAGGACTTGTCATGGACCACTCGTCAAAAGGGCGCAACAGCGTCTCTACTTCCTAAGGCGGCTGAAGAAATTTGGCATGCGGCCCTGGGTCCTCTTCAAATACTACCACTGCACCATTGAGAGCGTCCTGACCGGTTGCATCACAGCCTGGTATGGGAATTGCTCTGTCCACGACCGCAAGGCCCTCCAGCGGGTGGTGAAGACAGCCCAGTACATCACTGGGGCCGTGTTAACACCCATCCAGGACATCTACTCAAAACGGTACCTGAGGAAGGCACGCAGCAACATCAAGGACCCCACACACCCCAGTCACGGGCTGTTGTCTCCCTTACCGTCGGGGCAGACGGTATCGGAGCATGAGCTCTGATACCAACAGGCTCAAAGACAGTTTCTAGCTACAAGCCATCAGACTGCTGAACACTTGAACTGGATTGACCATCTGCTCTGATTCTCCACACCTTAGCACACATCACAACTGCTGCTATCAGACTCTTATTATACTGCTCAATTTATACACTTGCCACCAACCCCCCTTCCCAAATACAAGTGTAAATATTGTACTATAAATTGTGCCTTCCTGCATTATACTTATGCTAAAATGTTTATTCTACTCTACTGCCATTTACTTTATGTTCTTTTTTTATTTAATTTTTTACTATTTCTTATTGTTGTTGCATTGTCGAGACGGAACCTGCAAGTAAGCATTTTGTTGGACGATGTATACCATGCGTATCCTGTACATACGACTAATAAGACTTGAAACTTGAAGGCGACATACTGGTAGAAATGAGCTAAGATGGATTTCAGTTTCCCTGCATTAAAATCACTGGCCACTAGGAGTGTTGCCTCTGGATGAGCATTTTCTTGTTTGCTTATGGCCCTATACAGTTGAATGCGGTCTTAGTGCCAGCATTGGTTTGTTGTGGTAAAAAGACAGCTACGAAAAATATAGATGAAAATTATCTTGGTAAATAGTATGGTCTACAGCTTATCAGTAGGTATTCTAATTCAGGCGAGCAGAACCTAGACTTCCTTAATATTAGAGATTACGCACCAGCTGTTAAAAAAGAGACACACACCTACTCCCTATAGCTTACCTGACGCTGCCGTTCTGTCCTGCCGATGCATATAAAAACCAGCCAGATGTGTCAAATCGGAGGGCCTGTTGTCTGGACCTATGGCAGTCTCTATGGGGGTGCCACAGGGTTCAATTCTTGGGCCGACTCTTTTCTCCGTGTATATCAATGATGTCGCTCTTGCTGCTGGTGACTCTCAGATCCACCTCTACGCAGATGACACCATTTTGTATACATCTGGCCCTTCATTGGACACTGTGTTAACAAACCTCCAAACGAGCTTCAATGCCATAAAACACTCCTTCAGTAGCCTCCAACTGCTCTTAAACACTAGTAAAACTAAATGCATGCTCTTCAATCGAACGCTGCTGGCACCCGCCCACCCGACTAGAATCACTACTCTCGACGGGTCTGACCTAGAGTATGTGGACAACTACAAATACCTAGGTGTCTGGTTAGACTGTAAACTCTCCTTCCAGACTCACATTAAGAATCTCCAATCCAAAGTTAAATCTAGAATCGGCTTCCTATTTCGCAACAAAGCCTCCTTCACTCATGCTGGCAAACATGCCCTCGTAAAACTGACTATCCTACCGATCCTTGACTTCGGCGATGTCATTTACAAAATAGCCTCCAACACTCTACTCAGCAAATTGGATGTAGTCTATCACAGTGCCATCCGTTTTGTCTCCAAAGCCCCATACACTACCCACCACTGTGACCTGTACGCTCTTGTTGGCTGGTCCTCACTACATGTTCGTCGTCAAACCCACTGGCTCCAGGCCATCTATAAATCACTGCTAGGCAAATCCCCGCCTTATCTTAGCTCATTGGTCACCATAGCAGCACCCACCCGTAGTCTGCGCTCCCCGCCTTATCTTATATTGTTATTTATTTTGCTCTTTTGCACCCCAGTATCTCTATTTGCACATAATCTCTTGCACATCTAGCATTCCAGTGTTAATACTAATTGTAATTATTTTGCACTATAGCCTATTTATTGCCTTACCTCCATAACTTGCTACATTTGCACACACTGTATATATATTTTCTGTTGTATTTTTTGACTTTATGTTTTTTTACCCCATATGTAACTCTGTGTTGTTGTTTTTATCGCACTGCTTTGCTTTATCTTGGCCAGGTTGCAGTTGTAAATGAGAACTTGTTCTCAACTGGCTTACCTGGTTAAATAAAGGTGAAAAAAAAATAATAATAATAATCCATGTCCCTTGTTTAGCCACGACTCCGAGAAACATAGGATATTACAGTTCTTCAGGTCCCGTTGATAGGGTAGTCTTGAACGGAGCTCGTCCAGTTTGTTCTCCAGTGATTGTACGTTCGCCAATAGAACGGAAGGTAGAGGTGGTTTATGTACTCGCCGACGTAGTTTCATCAGGGGGCTCACACGTCGACCTCTCTTACACCACCTTTTTCTTTTCCGAGTCTCTGGGATTAGGGCCTGGTCCAGGGTGAGCAGTAAATCCTGTGTCTCCGACTCGTTGAAGTAGAAATCTTCATCCAAATTGAGGTTAGTGATCGCTGTTCTGATGTTCAGAAGCTCTTTTCGGTCATAGGAAATGATGGCCGAAACATTATGTACAAAGAAAGTTAAGATCAGCGTGAAAAAAACACAAAATAGTAGAATTGGTCAGGAGCCTGTAAAACGGCTGCTATCCATTGCAGCGCCATTCTTCATTCTAGTACCAGTAGTGCCCTTGTTCTTGAATAGCCACATACCGCTAGAGTAACTTCAGAGTAACTGTGATAGAAATTATATAACCATGTTAGTTAGCTAGCTAGCTAATTGTTTTAATGCAAGAAATTATGTTGTAAAGCTCATTTCTTATAATTCTACATATTTTCACACTGCTTAGGCCCTTGACCAGGGTGGAATATATATACATATAACACAGGTCGGGTGTATTCAGGATTATTTTAAAGTTGAATACAGAGTCAAAATTTGACGACTTGGTTTGAAGTTACTTTGAGATTATTTGGGTATGAAATGTAGAGTATTCAAACTGGGGAACAATGACATACATTGGTTTGGGCTAGAAAATGCTAATATTAACAGTTGGTGGTAGTGGCTAACCATATGATGGATTGCAGTCTCTCCTTTTCCATAAGAAACAAACATGTAAATATGTAATTCATTTGGGTGAACTAGGCTATCCCCGTAAAATAGGCCCATAGAAAATCGTGCCTAGAGGGAGCTTTGCAAGAGGGTTGGCCACCCCTGATATATGTTTACAAATACTGAGGGTTTCTACAAATTACTCGACATTCATGATAAGTCTAATGAATATCAATCTTCAGGTGGTTGAGGCTGATTTGTAAAACAATTACATCATCTTACTCTAGGCACTGGGCTATATTGTCATTTGCTGTCAAAAGGAAGCATTAATTTGTTGACAATTATGTGTACAAAACAGAGCTACAAGTTGCCTTACTGCTCTTTTGACAGTTGAGTTCATAAACTTAGTTCAGCAGATAACAAACACGCCTGTCCAGTCTGCCTGTGGCTGTCTGCTCCACTCTAATCATGAGGGGTGTTTCTTTACAAACGCGCACCAATCTGCCGCTATTCACAGTACTTTTTTCAATGCCTGAGAAATAATAGGGGTGGGTGTGTGAAGCGCGTCAAATGCGTGAGCGTTGACAGCACTGAAAAGCAATGTCTCAGTTGTCTCAAGGCTTACAAATCCTTCTTTACCTGTCTCCTCCCCTTCATCTACATTGATTGAAGTGGAAGTAACAGGTGACTTCAAAAGGGATCATAGCTTTCACCTGGATTCACCTGGTTAGTCTGTCATGGAAAGAGCAGGTGTTCCTAATGGTTTGTACACTGTCTAGAAGACAGTCCATGAATCGGCGTATGAGAACGTGAGTTGATTACCTTGAAAACAACGGGCGGGCAGACATCCAGTTCTTACTACCTCAGTGCTCTGAACACACGAATCTTCTGGAACGCACCCATCGTCATGACGTAAAAGGCACGCAGTGAATTGTGGGATTCAAAATGGAGATTGTTATCAAGCTGTCAACTGAAACGTCTTGTCTCGGACTTATTTAACGCATTTTATTTAAATGTCCAGTTGCTGTTCTTCGCACACTTACCAAACAATGCACAGTCTGGGATTGGGTTTTTTCGCTAGGGCCGCGGTTGGTCCAAACGCTTTACTTCGACTCTACTCACGCAATTTCAATGCTAGAAAATGTTCCGAACGCCGGTACCAGTGGACAGGTGCTTGGGGCCCAGCAGGATGGATCAAGAACTACAGTCAGGAAGCACGTAAGAATGAATTGGGACAGTATGTTTGCTATCATCTTCCACACAGGACCTTACTAAAAGTTCAAGGGCAAGATACAAGATCGTTTCTTCAAGGTATTGTAACCAATGACATGGAGCTCTTTGTAGAAGAGGAACAGAACGTGTTGTATGCGCACATGCTGAACGTTCAAGGAAGGACACTATATGACATTATCATATACAGGTAAGGTTACATGGCTAAAATGCACTCAACTAATGCCTTATTGTAACAGCTACATCTTGTTTACAGTCAGGCTAGCCATAACCTCAATTGTGGGCGTGGCTTGCTTATCTAACTACTAAGTTTCACATGAAAGTTACTGTGCAGCAGTTAGACTGTTTCAATTAGTTACTAGAAACTCAGGCATTATATACATTTGAAGTACCCCCAACCTGACATTCTTTCTTTTATTGTTATTTAGGTTGAAAGAAGCCGAAGCGGGTTGTGGTGTTCTGGTCGAGTGTGACACCACCATAAAGGACTTCATTTTGAAACATTTGAAGGTGTACAAAATCCGCCGGCAGGTGAAGATCAGCCTCTGTCCAGAGCTTTCTCTATGGGCTGTGTTGCCTCAGGGAACAGCCCCAGGCCAGGAGAGGCCCAAGCCAGGTCTCACTGCCCCAGAAAAAGCTCTGATGTGGGAGGAAGATCCGAGAACTGAAGCCATGGGCTGGAGGTTGGTGGTGGACAACAAAGTCGATCCTCTGGAAATTATTCCATCGTGTCAGCAAGGCGACTCAGAAGAGTACCACAGGCACCGCTATGCAATAGGTAGGACCAGCCAACAAGAGGTTTAAGTGGTGGAAATGGTTTGCTTGCCTCATGTAATACTATGTGCTGTAGCCAACTCTGGCTGTATAGGGTCAACTACTGGGTTGTTGTCATGCCATATACGATAGAACAGTTGGCTGCAGCATACGGTATGGAATATGGCTAGCAGGGCTGTTGGATTCAAGTTATTCCTGTAAGCACACTATGTTTCTATCTACCCGTTTCTCCTAGGACTTCCTGAGGGGGTGAAGGACCTTCCTCCTGGGGTGGCTCTTCCTCTGGAGTCCAACCTGGTCTACATGCAGGGCATCAGCTTCAGTAAGGGCTGTTACATCGGCCAGGAGCTGACCGCCAGGACTCATCACACTGGGGTGGTGCGAAAGCGTCTGATGCCTGTACGCATGTCAGCACCAGCTGAAGGCCTGGAGGAAGGAGTATCGCTACAGACCCAGTCTGGCAAGCCAGCCGGGAAGCACAGGGCCGGGGTTGGAGAGCTGGGCCTGAGCCTGATCCGCCTGGCTCACGCTAAAGAGCCACTGACACTCAAGGCATCTGAGGACACCACAGTGACTCTGGAGGCCTCCGTGCCAGACTGGTGGCCCAAAGACTCTAAAGCCAAATGAGGATAGAGGTATTTATTGACCCCAACAATATGAAACGCACATATGTTCAAAAGAGCCATATAATTTCTACATGGATAGGGTCCACCTAGTACAGTATTTCACTGGTACCACTAGCAACCATGTCTGACATACATTTTACTTTGTTTGCAGTATTGAAATTGCTTTAGTTCCTGAAATTATAATTTGCCTGTTTTCCTTGAGACTATGCTGTTTGCCAGTTGTGCACCACCATTTACTAGCCATTGTCAGAATATTACTTTATGTATCTCTGGTGTAATAAACATACAAGGACACAAAGTATGGATGTTTGTCATTTTATCATCTCATTCACACAAAACATCCATAAAGTTATGTATTTCAAGACATCAGGCAAGTCATTTGGGCTACCTACCTCTGAAACCAAAGGCTTATCAACCAAATGAATTGATAAATGCTCAGAAAGGGATTCTGAGTGTCCTACTCCTGGTAAAGGGAGTGCTGCCCTCTAGTGGAGTATATGGTTTATTTTTAATCTGCTGCAGTAAACTTTCAGGTTGTGAGCTCAGAGTTGAATGGTCCAGTCTCTTAAAGTCTTTGTTGCAGAGCATGCATTCTAGAATGTGAGCCACCATCTGCAGGTCAAAGGCAGCGTGGTGAGGTCCTAACGTGGTCAAGGTCTCTGAAAGATGCTGGGGGTAATTTGAGGAGGTGTTTCCAGAGCAAGAGCTCAAGAAAGACATGCGGTTGTCAGCGATGACCTTTAGGAAAGAGGCAAACTCCCTGTAGTCAATCCCAGGGGGGGGGGTGTAGGTACTACAGACAACACAGCTTTTAAAAATACATATTTTGTCATACAGTATCTCCAAGTGTTCAATATACCTGGCAAGTCTCCCTCTGGACAGCAGACAGCTCGTTTTGAAGAAACTGCCACAATGTCCACATTGCAGCCATTCAGCCAGCTATGGTTGATAGATGGTGTCTTCCTGCAGGATTATGAGATTAAAGTGGGGTTACTTACAGTTCAAAATTAGCCAGATGAATCAGATAAGCTTATACAGTCACTTGCGAAATTATTCACACCCCTTGGCATTTTTCCTATTTTGTTGCCTTACAACCTTGAATTACAATTGATTTTTGGGGGGTTTGTATCATTTGAGTTACACAACATGCCTAACACTTTGAAGATGCAAAATATTTGTTATTGTGAAACAAACAAGAAATAAGACACAAAACCAGAACTTGAGCGTGCATAACAATTCACCCCCCCCCCCAAAGTCAATACTTTGTAGAGCCTCCTTTTGCAGCAATTACAGCTGCAAGTCTCTTGGGGTATGTCTCTATAAGCTTGGCACATCTAGCCACTGTGATTTTTGCCCATTCTTCAAGGCAAAACTGCTCCAGCTCCTTCGAGTTGGATGGGTTCCGCTGGTGTACAGCAATCTTTAAGTCATACCACATATTCTCAATTGGATTGAGGTCTGGGCTTTGACTAGGCCATTCCAAGACATTTAAATGTTTCCCCTTAAACCACTCGAGTGTTGCTTTTAGCAGTATGCTTAGGGTCAGTGTCCTGCTGGAAGGTGAACCTCTGTCCCAGTCTCAAATCTCTGGAAGACTGTAACAGGTTTCCCTCAAGAATTTCCCAGGATTTAGCGCCATCCATCATTCCTTCAATTCTGACCAGTTTCCCAGTCCCTACCGATGGAAAAACATCCCCACAGCATGATGCTGCCACCACCATGCTTCACTGTGGGGATGGTGTTCTCGGGGTGATGAGAGGTGTTGTGTTTGCGCCAGACATACCGTTTTCCTTGATGGCCAAAAAGCTCAATTTTAGTCTCATCTGACCAGAGTCACTTCTTTCATATGTTTGGGGAGTCTCCCATATGCCTTTTGGCGAACACCAAACGTGTTTGCTTATTTTTTTCTTTAAGTAATGGCTTTTTTTCTAGCCACTCTTCTGTAAAGCCCAGCTCTGTTTTACAAACTAAAACACTTTCAAATCATTGGCCTGCTGCTCTTCAGAGGCAACATACCAGTGAATTCAATACCTTGACATGTGCCAATCCTTCAGATAGACATCCTTTTGGATGTATTCTTTCCAGTAGTGAATAAATTCCTTGAATGGAATAATTTGCTTTGGGTTTGCGTTGTATTCTTTCACATTACTGTTTGCAACAGGAACCGGAGTGTCATCTGCAAGGGGAAAAATATATACATTATGTGAAAACAACTTTAAAATGGGTTCATAACTGCAGCACAAATTATATCAGATAATTTCACAGACAATTATTTTTGGATTTGCAGTACAAAGATAAGTCGAAAATGTGGAGGGGCTGGTTCGTTCATTCGAGCCTAAAAATAGCTTTCTATTTCACAGACTATGATTTTCAGTTTGGATTGCAGGGGAACACATTTATCGATGCACACGCCCAATATTAATTGCGTAGCTACATTTTGTTTAATTTTTTTTGACATTGTACGGAAACATCTTGGGCATTGTCTGCTAATTCAACGTCGTCTTAAAAATACAATTTATGTAGTACATGTAAGCAACGAAATTAGACATGTTAATTTACACATTTACGTAGCAGGATCATTGTTTCTAGACGGACTGTAAACATGTCTGTACTGAGAACCTGACGTTGCTCCACTTCCTAAACAAATCAGTCGCCTGCGAACAGCTGTCTATTTAATTTTACGAATTATTAAACTGACACATTAATAAATATATATATATATATATATATATATATATATATTCAGTTTCCATACAGAGCAACTACTCGAATAATGACTGCTAGCTTTTGCACAATCGATAATATTCTCCCCTTACCCAACATTACAGAACTGTTGCTACTGATTTCCTGGAAAAGGAATAACCCTGCAGGAGCGCACGTGCCAGGTATGTAAAAAGTAAACAAAAACATGTTGACTGGTCGCTAGCTATTTTGTTTGGTTGCAGCTACTCTTTAGTTTGAACACGAATGTAATTTAATGCAAAAATACATTTCATTTTATTTTAGAGGTAAGCTTATGAAGAGGGCTTCTAGCTGGATAGCTAGCTAACGTTAGATAGCTTCCTGGCTTATTATGATTATGTATGTTTTTCTAGCCAGCTAGCAAGCTTAGCGTATACATAGTGGCACTAACAAAGTAACGTTAGCTAGTACACGGTAACATGTTTCTAGCTGTAACGTTACTGCCCTACAGTAATAGCTAATAGCTAGTCCAAAATACCTTGATTACAATGACATCTAGCTAGCTACTTGAAATACCTAGCAAAATACCTAGCTACAGTCAGGGAAAAAAGTATTTGATCCCCTGCTGACTTTGTACGTTTGCCCACTGACAAAGAAATGATCAGTCTATAATTTTAATGGTAGGTTTATTTGAACAGTGAGAGACAGAATAACAAAATAATCCAGAAAAACGCATGTCAAAAATGTTATAAATTGATTTGCATTTTAATGAGTGAAATAAGTATTTGACCCCTCTGCAAAACATGACTTAGTACTTGGTGGCAAAACCCTTGTTGGCAATCAGAGGTCAGACGTTTCTTGTAGTTGGCCACCAGGTTTGCACACATCTCAGGAGGGATTTTGTTCCACTCCTCTTTGCAGATCTTCTCCAAATCATTAAGGTTTCGAGCCAGATTTGACGGTACATGGCCCCGTCCATCGCCCCTTTGATGCGGAGAAGTTATCCTGTCCCCTTAGCAGAAAAACACCCCCAAAGCATAATGTTTCCACCTCCATGTTTGACGGTGGGGATGGTGTTCTTGGGGTCATAGGCAGCATTCCTCCTCCTTCAAACATGGCGAGTTGAGTTGATGCCAAAGAGCTCGATTTTGGTCTCATCTGACCACAACACTTTCACCCAGTTCTCCTCTGAATCATTCAGATGTTCATTGGCAAACTTCAGACGGCCCTGTATATGTGCTTTCTTGAGCAGGGGGACCTTGCAGGCGCTGCAGGATTTCAGTCCTTCACGGCGTAGTGTGTTACCAATTGTTTTCTTGGTGACTATGGTCCCAGCTGCCTTGAGATCATTGACAAGATCCTCCGGTGTAGTTCTGGGCTGATTCCTCACGGTTCTCATGATCATTGCAACTCCACGAGGTGAGATCTTGCATGGAGCCCCAGGCCGAGGGAGATTGACAGTTATTTTGTGTTTCTTCCATTTGCGAATAATCACACCAACTGTTGTCACCTTCTCACCAAGCTGCTTGGCGATGGTCTTGTAGCCCATTCCAGCCCTGTGTAGGTCTACAATCTTGTCCCTGATTATCCTTTGAGAGCTCTTTGTTCTTGGCTGAGATTAGGAGCACTCCCTTTAAGAGTGTGCTCCTAATCTCAGCTCGTTACCTGTATAAAAGACACCTGGGAGCCAGAAATCTTTCTGATTGAGAGGGGGTCAAATACTTATTTACCTCATTAAAATGCAAATCAATTTATAACATTTTTGACATTTTAGTTTTTCTGGATTTTTTTGTTGTTATTCTGTCTCTCACTGTTCAAATAAACCTACCATTAAAATTATAGACTGATCATTTCTTTGTCAGTGGGCAAACGTACAAAATCAGCAGGGGATCAAATACTTTTTTCCCTCACTGTAGTAGTTCCAAAGCTTTAGGGTCTAATCTTTAATCTCGATTAACATCTTGACCTTGATTCAAATATTCTATGTTATTTATAATATGACATCTGAATTTATGTTCACCCCTCTTTACCTAAGTGAGCATCTGAAGCCAAGCCAAGATGACAAGCCCAAACCGAGACATCCCCATCCACAGCTGGCCAGGCTCCTACTACATCAACAGCGAGAAGCGCTGGGAGGCCGGGACCCTGTCCCTGACCCGCACCATGCTGCGCTTCACCTCAGACCCGAGCAAAGAGAACCTGGTCGGTTTCCGCCTCACCAGGATCATCGAGATCAAGATGGAGTCGTCCAGCTTCATCTTCAGCACTCTGACTGTGTTGGAGCAGGGGAATCTCAAGCACTGGTTTGGCTCGCTGAGGCCCAACCGGGTGGTGGTCTACAATGTCCTGGAGCATTTCTGGAGGGAGAGGTTGTTGTCCCCCTCTACTGAGGTCCAGGGGGTTGAGGCACAGCCCACCAAGAGGAGGGAGCTGATTAACCTGGTGGTAGGGGCTCAGAGACGGCTAGAGGACACAGGAAATGTCCTCCACCACCAGGGAGAGCAGTTTGATAACGTTATGCAGGGCCTGGACAAGATCGACTCTAATCTGGGCGTGGCAGACAAGTAAGGAGGATCTTGTTATTGTATTCTATATCTGGACCTTGTCATTCAACTGTTTTTATGTTTTCAAATATTGTACCTAGCCATGGATATTGTCGGAGGTTTTGATGCCTTTCTATTTACATGTCATTGGTTAATCTATAGTAGTAGTTAAAGAATTGAGATTGGATAGCGATAATCCAACTTCTGTCACCATTCTCTCCGTAGGCTACTGGCTGAACTGGAGTCTCCCCCTTGGTGGCCTTTTGGCAAATTACCCTGGAAGAGTCAGCAGGATGCCAAGGCTGAGCATGCTGCCAGAGAGTCCGCTTGTAAGGGAACAGCAACAGGCAAGCACAGAGTGATCACCAGCATACCAGCCATCGTTTCCAGAGGTGGGGACTCGGACCTGAAGCCTGGCTGCTTGATGGTGATGGTCTCCTCATTAGAAGTCCGAGACACAAACTATGTGCTCCTCCACCGCTTTGAGAGGGACGAGGTGGATGACATCCGGGTTCACAACCCTTATGAGATCAGTGTGAGGCAGAGGTTCATAGGGAAGCCAGACATATGCTTCCGACTCCTGTCGGCTAAAATGCCGGAGGCCATGTCTGTGCTAGAGATGCAGTATAAGAGGAAGGTGGAGTACACGAGTGAGTACTCTGCCTTTAAGACGACCCCAGCCACGACCCCAGTTGACCAGGATCAAGGTTCAATATGGAATGCAGGTAAGAAGTGTGGATTTTACCTCTAAAGTCACAGGCAGGTGTTCTTCTTTGTTTATTTTGCACTGTTTGTGCATTGGTTTGTTTGACCACCAAGTGGCAGTAAAGGTCTATGTATTTTAGCAATAGCTCAGTATACATCTTTGAAATTGCTTTAGGCTCTCTTGAGGCTCAAATCTCATTATACACTCTAGATCAGGGTTCCCGAATAGGCGGCCTGCGGGCCAAATTCGGCCTGCGGGTGATTTTATTTGGCGCCCCCAGTTTTCTGATAAGAAATTATGTACTTTTTGTTGTTTGACATGACTGTAAAATCCCCACGATATCAGCTCAAAGTGTATTTTAATTTAGGAAATATGTTCCCAAGTATTCCCACGCATAACTAGAGGCATATGTGGTCGTATCCCAATGGAATCAAGGTTTTAAATGATTCCGTGTTTGTCAAATACTTTATTTTTATTTTTATGCCATTTAGCAGACGCTTTTATCCAAAGCGACTTACAGTCATGCGTGCATACATTTTTACATATGGGTGGTCCCGGTGATCGAACCCACTACCCTGGTGTTACAAGCGCCATGCTCTACCAATTGAGCTACAGAGGACCACCTTTATCTGTTTGGGATTCTTGCGGGCAATTAGCTGTTCACAAATTATTTATAACTATGTTGACCCCTGCTCTAGATTATAGATTTATTACACAATTTTGCAGTTTTTATGTTATGAGCTTTCCCCTTTACATTATCATGGGAATACTGTTATGCTCATAAGATGATCATTTGTTTGTTTGAGTTGCCTTCTCACTGTATCTCTGTCCCCCTCCTGTGGCAGCAGGCTTGCAGCAGTACCAGGAGACGGAGGTCCCCAGGACGGTCCCAGCAGGAGAGCTTTCCCAGGTGCATTTGCATGTCCTTAAGCCAGAGGTAACTCAGGCTGAGGTTCAGGAGCTCCGACAGGTGAGAGATCTGAATCTGGCTTCTAATTTCTCTCCTTCTGTATACTAAAGCATGTGATCCTACAGAAACCTAATCCTATAACAGTCTAAAGTTACAGTGGGGAAAAAAAGTATTTAGTCAGCCACCAATTGTGCAAGTTCTCCCACTTAAAAAGATGGGAGAGGCCTGTAATTTTAATCATAGGTACACGCCAATTATGACAGACAAAATGAGAAAAAAAAATCCAGAAAATTGTAGGATTTTTTATGAATTTATTTGCAAATTATGGTGGAAAATAAGTATTTGGTCACCTACAAACAAGCAAGATTTCTGGCTCTCACAGACCTGTAACTTCTTCTTTAAGAGGCTCCTCTGTCCTCCACTCGTTACCTGTATTAATGGCACCTGTTTGAACTTGTTATCAGTATAAAAGACACCTGTCCACAACCTCAAACAGTCACATTCCAAACTACACTATGGCCAAGACCAAAGAGCTGTCAAAGGACACCAGAAACAAAATTGTAGACCTGCACCAGGCTGGGAAGACTGAATCTGCAATAGGTAAGCAGCTTGGTTTGAAGAAATCAACTGTAGGAGCAATTATTAGGAAATGGAAGACATACAAGACCACTGATAATCTCCCTCGATCTGGGGCTCCATGCAAGATCTCACCCTGTGGGGTCAAAATGATCACAAGAACAGTGAGCAAAAATCCCAGAACCACACGGGGGGACCTAGTGAATGACCTGCAGAGAGCTGGGACCAAAGTAACAAAGCCTACCATCAGTAACACACTACGCCGCCAGGGACTAAAATCCTGCAGTGCCAGACGTGTCCCCCTGCTTAAGCCAGTATATGTCCAGGCCCGTCTGAAGTTTGCTTGAGTGCATTTGGATGATCCAGAAGAGGATTGGGAGAATGTCATATGGTCAGATGAAACTAAAATAGAACTTTTTGGTAAAAACTCAACTCGTCGTGTTTGGAGGACAAAGAATGCTGAGTTGCATCCAAAGAACACCATACCTACTGTGAAGCATGGGGGTGGAAACATCATGCTTTGGGGCTGTTTTTCTGCAAAGGGACCAGGACGACTGATCCGTGTAAAGGAAAGAATGAATGGGGCCATGTATCGTGAGATTTTGAGTGAAAACCAGCAAGGGCATTGAAGATGAAACGTAGCTGGGTCTTTCAGCATGACAATGATCCCAAACACACCGCCCGGGCAACGAAGGAGTGGCTTCGTAAGAAGCATTTCAAGGTCCTGGAGTGGCCTAGCCAGTCTCCAGATCTCAACCCCATAGAAAATCTTTGGAGGGAGTTGAAAGTCCGTGTTGCCCAGCGACAGCCCCAAAAACATCACTGCTCTAGAGGAGATCTGCATGGAGGAATGGGCCAAAATACCAGCAACAGTGTGTGAAAACCTTGTGAAGACTTACAGAAAACGTTTGACCTGTGTCATTGCCAACAAAGGGTATATAACAAAGTATTGAGAAACTTTTGTTATTGACCAAATACTTATTTTCCACCATAATTTGCAAATAAATTCATTAAAAATCCTACAATGTGATTTTCTGGATTTTCTTTTCTCATTTTGTCTGTCATAGTTGACGTGTACCTATGATGAAAATTACAGGCCTCTCTCATCTTTTTAAGTGGGAGAACTTGCACAATTGGTGGCTGACTAAATACTTTTTTCCCCCACTGTATACTGCCTTTACATTGTCTCTTTCTGCTTAATACCTGTCCTGTAGACACCTGTTTTGTATGTAGAGGAAATGCGTGATTGAATAACCATGTTATGTTTCAGTAAATGTATGCCATTTCAATAGCAGGTTTTAAAGAACAAGCATAACTTTGCCTATGGAAATCATGGGAAGATAAATGCTATATTTCCATTCCAAACCAGAGATTCACTAATGACTTAGATTTTTCAAATTATATTTTATATGTAAGTCGGTGAGACCACAATCCAAACTCCAATGGGTTTAAGAGAGGGAGGGAAAGATACATGGCCAGTTATTTGGTCAGACGTCTCTGGTCAGACAGTGTATAAAGTATTTCCATTCAAAGCCTCATAATGTTGAACAGGGTGAGCTCCATGCATGGTCTATGGTCGCAAGACATAAACAGTGACGCAAATGCAGTCAATTATTTTTCATTTAACACATTATTATAAGTTGCTCAGAATGGTGTATTCCATGTTAAACCTCTTCGAAACACAACATTTTGTGTATATCTAAGACCACATGTAATTGGTTGGTGAACCGTTACAAGTATGTTGTCATTTTCATAATCCTCCTGAAACATAGGCTACAGTCTCTCCAGACTTGGATGTTTTTTACTGTCCCATAAGCAATTCTATAAAGCTGAATGAAGCTGAGATTGAATGAGCCTTTTGTGGAAACTGCGTTTACAACAGAATAGTTAGTTACGTATTACAAGTTAAGTATTGACCACTTCAGAATGGTCTCAATACGATTGTATCTCAATATAGTTTTATATATAATCATTTTACAAACAAATCGATCATGTAAGTGACGTTTTTCTCAATTAGTCTGTGTACAATTCAGGGTTGTGTATTCTTTCTCTATCAGTGGATTACTATGTAGTGCTGATAAGTCTTAATGGTAAGTCTTAACTACAAAGCCTACCACTTTCTCAAGTGGTACAATAGTACACTTTTTGACACACCCAACCCTGATGATTAGAACCTATAGTGAGAGCCCCTCGTTGAGAGCCACTTTCAACCTTATTTACTACCCAAGTGTATAGCAAATAGCCCCTTTTGTCAAAAGATATTTGATACAGATTATCAGTTGGTTTATTGTTCAAATCAGTTAAATATTTACAGTTCTTTATGTCCTAAACAAATTCCTACGAGTCACCACACCTCACCTTTCGTCAGTTTACTGAGGTTATTAGCCTACTTTTTTTTTAAACTTGTGTGTATTTTACTAACATATCTGACTGTTTATGTTAATACACCCAAACAAACCTAATTTTCAAGCAGTGGTGTGATGATATTGAACTTAAGCAGTAGGATTGAGTTAAAGGTCCTGTGCACATTGTTGCTGTGTGTCAACACTTACTGGCAGTTGAAAACTGACATGTCAATGGGTGTGTGTGATAATGTGTAGGATAATATTAGTTTAGAAACCACGGTGGTGGGGTTTGGAGGGAATGTTTATAAGGTTTTGCTTGGCACAACGCAGTTTATTTTAGTTGTTCCATTGACCATTATGTACACAGTTGTTGGAGCTTGGAGATGGAGTTGCAGAATTCCCTGAACACACAGAAAGTTTAAATAACATTTAATTGACTTGTTTGTTATCGATGACCAGAGGAGATCTCTGTAAAACCACCATGTGCTTGAGTATCGTATACTAGTCACATTGATATTGTTTCACATGGAGATTGTGTCTTGAACTAGCGACGTAAATACAGTTATTATAGATAGTTTTCATTCATTCTGTCTTCTTGGCCCCAGCAGGCAGTGGAAGAAGAATTATGACTGAGAAAAAAGTGTTATTCCTCCTCTCTGCTCATCTCCCCCGTCTTTTCCACTGACTGACTCACTCCCTCTCCTCTCAGGACATAACGCCTAGAGAAGACACTTTTTCCCCCACAACAAGAAACAAGATTACTCCCACAGACCTAGGTCAAATACATATGTCAAATACTTGAGCTGCGCTTGATTTACTTTGCCCTGTAAAATGGAACAAAATGGATCCAGAAGTGCGAACCACAAGCTAAATCAAATGTATGTATGTGTGTGTGCCTATATGTCTCTCTCCCTACTCTCTCAGATGCTGATGCAGCTGAAAAACCTGGCTCTGGAGGCTGAGACAGAGCTGGAGAGGCAAGACGAGGCCCTGGATGTTCTGACCACCTCTACAGACCGGGCCACCATGCACATAGACAAACACACCTGCCGCATGAAGAGACTGCTGTAACTCACACACCAGTCAGCCAGCCAACCGGCTCACTTACAATGCAATGCAGAAATGCACTGTGAGTTGCCATTGCCTTGTTGTACTGTACCTCCTATATTTGAGGTTCCATAACCATTGAAACCAGATTTTACCGTCTGCTTGGTTGTAACACGTGAAGTTATGTCTTAGCCTCAGGTGTAGTCATACACCCTTACCTCATTGTAACGTGTAAAATATAGAAATCGATGTTCCTCTCAATGTGGTAATTACCGACCAGTCCACTAGATGGCATTTACATCAAGGTGAGGAAGTGTTCACTCCCATCAGCACTTTGTGGAGATATCGTCCTTTTAGCACTGACAAACCAGGAATAGATCCAAACCTGGTTGTTGTTGACGGGAGATGGAATCCCTGGGTTGGACAGACAGAATGGTCTCTGTCACACATGTATACCATGGTTTCTGATGTACTTAAATCACGGTGAGGAACGATTGTCATGTGTTTTTTCCTTCTTATTTTTCAGGTGTAGGTGTCAGTGAAGCCATCCCCTCCCTCCATGCACATGGTTTCCCTCCAGCTCCACCTGTTGCATGTCCCCATGTTGCTGCTGAGTAAGCGATGCATCGAGTGGGATCACTGCATTATAATCCAGGTTTGCAGTGGGTATGTAACATGTAGCAAAGTCCCTTGGAACTGTGTCGCTTGAAACACACAGAATACTGTACAGAGCTCCTACTCGAAGTCAATTCCTATTCCATAATGTACCGTACTAGAAAAAGCAGGCAGCAACTCACAATAGGTTATTTCTCTAACATTGTCACTGGATTTAGGAATATCTGTATAATCTTATGTGTCTATTAATGACTCGCATATTTTGATGCTGTAGTGTACTCTATGTTGTACTGGAATTTATTTATTGTCTCGTTTCATATGTGAACTTGCGATAAACTGTTATTTAAACTCAATATCTGGTAAATAATGCTTTTCTCCGTACATTTCATGCTAATGTACTGTAGAGAGCAGAGGAAGTATTTGAGTGGCGCGTAATTATCCAATAAAATATGTTTACATAGAAGACAGACGATTGGCTTTAAGTAGTACAATACAACCTGCCCAGTTTATAAAAGCCAATATACACTGAACAAAAATCTAAATGCAACATGTTAACCGTTGGTCCCATGTTTCATAAGCTGAAATAAAAGATCCTAGAAATTTTCCATGCGCACAAAAAGCTTATTTCTCTCAAATTTTGTGCGCAAATTTGTTTACATCCCTGTTAGTGAGCATTTCTCCTTTGCCAAGATAATCCATCCACCTGACAGGTGTGGCATATCAAGAAGCTGATTAAACAGTTTGATCATTACACAGGTGCACCTTGTGCTGGGGACAAGAAAAGGCTGCTCTAAAATGTGCAGTTTTGTCACAACACAATACCACAAATGTCTCAAGTTTTGAGGGAGCGTGCAATTGGCATGCTGACTGCAGGAATGTCCACCAGAGCTGTTACCAGAGAATACAATGTTATTTTCTCTACCATAAGCCGCCTCCAACATCGTTTTAGAGAACAACTGCAGACCACGTGTAACCACGCCAGCCCAGGACGTCCACATCCGTCTTTTTCACCTGCGGTATCGTCTGAGACCAGCCACCGGGACAGCTGATGAAACTGTGGGTTTGCACAACCGAAGAATATCTGCACAGACTGCAGTTCGGCGTTGTAACTGACTTCATTGGGCAAATGCTCACCTTCGATGGCCACTGGCAATGCTGGAAAAGAGTGCTCTTCACAGATGAATCCCGGTTTCAACTGTACCGGGCAGGTGGCGTGTATGACGTCGTGTGGGCGAGCGGTTTGCTGATGTCAACGTTGTGAACAGAGTGCCCCATGGTGGGGTTATGGTATGGGCAGGCAAAAGCTACAGACAATGAACACAATTGCATTTTATCAATGGCAATTTGAATACACAGAGATACCGTGACAAGATCCTGAGGCCCATTATCATGCCATTCATCCGCCGCCATCACCCCATGTTTCAGCATGATAATGCACGGCCCCATGTCGCAAGGATCTGTACATAATCTCTGGAAGTTGAAAATGTCCCTGGTCTGCATACTCACCAGACATGTCACCCATTGAGCGTGTTTGGGATGCTCTGAATCGGCTTGTACGACAGCGTGTTCCAGTTCCTGCCAATATCCAGGAACTTCACACAGCCATTGAAGAGGAGTGGGACAATGTTCCACAGGCCACAATTAATAGCCTGATCAACTCTATGCGAAAGAGATGTCACACTGCACGAGGAAATGGTGGTCACACCACATACTGACTGGCTTTCTTATCCACGCCCCTACTTTTACATTTTTTTAAGGTATCTGTGACCAACAGTTGCATATCTGTATTCCCAGTCATGTGAAATCCATAGATTAGAGCCTAATGAATATATTTAAATTGACTGATTTCCTCATATAAACTATAACTCAGTAACATCTTTGAAATTGTTGCATGTTGCGTTTATATTTTTGTTCAGTGTAGTTCCCTTTTATTAATTTAAGAATGATAATGAATAGAAAACAAAACAGGCAATAAAACAACACTCAGAGAAAGGCAAAGCAAGGTAACACCCAATAATAACAAGGTTCACATGTGACAAGTTGGCACGGAAAATGGCAAAACAATGGCAAACGAGATGGAAGTGGAAGCTATTTACTATTGAAAGTGCTCCTTGCGAGTCGGTCCCTGGCCTTTTGAATGAAAGTGAGTGCAGAGTAAACAGGCCTGTTGTTATAACATCCTGTTGGCACCAGGAGTTAGTTTGTCATCTGCTCACCACCCCTGTTGTGGCCGGGGCTCTCTCTCACACACACATACGCACACCACCCTTGTCGTGGCTGCGGGCAGGGGCCGCTAGCTTTCACGAGATAGGGGACCACCAGGAGCCAAGAGCCCAGATTAATCCGATTTGGCAGCAGGCGATGGGGTGGCGGTGCTTTCAATAATGACTCAGGAAGAAGCTGAACTGCTAAACTGGTTTGTAAAGAAGACTGACGACCTCTCAAATGTCTCAGCCCGGGTCCATCACTGGGATGTGATCCTACACTAAAGATGTCATAAATTGAGAATGAACACTTGTCATAAGAGTTACATGACAAGAAAAGTGTTGCCAGAGAAAAGGGGGTTATACCAAACACTTATTTTAGTCTGATCAAAGATGGTGATGGTAAACTGGAGACTGTTTCTTTCTTTGTTGATTTGAGCAATAAACAGTTCCATTCATTTGGGAGTCCCGATGTCCCAAACTCCAGAAGCATACCACATGGTTATGTGAATTCCTAGCCTCTATAAAAAGGCGAGGAAGGGAGAGAGTGAACACGTACTGGCGTGTTTTCGGAGTAGCCTTCCTATAGAAGGAAGTGGTGTCGGTCTGGTCTGACCACAGATGCATGAGATCCGGCGTTGCCTTCCTAGCAGATGGTATGGAGACACCATGCAGGCCTAGACTTCCAAGTCTGTTTACTAGATAGTCCCTGTGGTGAGGTTGTTCTCTCCAACAAGGAGCGTGTCTCAATTGAAGGCCAATCAATCAAGTTCTTGGAAAGAGCTTCACAAAGGCTGTGGGATTCTGTCAGGGCACATGTGGGTTGCTCTCTGCTCTCCAAAATAAGGAGCCATGTGATTGTTATACCAAGTCAGAGTTGTCATTTCCCCTCCGGCTTTGAGGTGGATTGTTTTTGCTTTCTGTAAAAAGTGCTCAAGACATCTCTCATGACATCCTTAGTTATTTACCATGGTTTTGTCTTTAGGTTACCTTGGCAATATTGCTACAGATTGCATCAGTAATATAATAACTGTTTTCAGTGTTGGTAAATGTAAAATAATGAAAATATTCACTGACAGTTTTTCGGTTTATCATGCAAAATAAACTATCAATGTGGGTAAGGATTTTGATGTTTATATTCATCAATGTGATTCATTTTGAGAATGGAGTCTAAGGTCTCTAATTGGAAATGAGAGAAATACACTATATTATTTTATTCCTGTGTAGCACTACACTATTAGAGTATGTCTGTGTGTCTGTAATGGTTAGACTCTTGACTCACGTCCTGGCTGGTCTCCTACTGGTGCAGGTGTCGCTGCTGATGCGTTCGTTTCCCCACGCAGAGGGACGCTCCAGTTTCAGGAAATCAGGCCTGTTGGTTAATGTTAGAACTGGGAGGAAAAGTTCCTGGAGGGTGGTTGAGTACAACTTGGGGGGGCGGAATGGATTCCCTTTCTATTAGAAAGGCTTTGGTTGAAAGTCGATTGTGGTGTACAAGTTTTACAAAACATTTGCTGTACACTTACAGTATGTTAATTGCATTTTATGTGTTTTCAATCCATTTTTATAATATTCCTCCATAGCCAAGTTGGCTTCAATGATTGATGTGATAAAAGTAGGTACAAGAGTTTGAGTTCTGTTTGTGTACCTGTTGTTGTTGCTGAGGATTTGACTTCAAATTAATTTGACTTCCCATTGCAATCCCATCAGAAGATGCCCTCTGTTTGACTATTAATGTGGTACTTTCCCAGACGCTGAGAGACAGAATGATATCATATGCCTCTTGCACTTGTTATTGTTATCTTTTCTTTGGTCTTCAGACGGAGGTGCACTTTGTTGGATTTCCGTTTCTCTTTATTCAGAGTGACTCCTCTCATCTCTGCTAGAGGGAGTTAACTGCGAGTCGCCCTGGCCAAAGTCAACTCCAACCATGGTCTGGTCTTTCTGAAGCAACTCCAATGAAGGTCTACTGCTTCATAAGCATGGGTGTGTGGACAGCACAGGCCTACTGTATTGAACAGCTGAAATAATTGTGTCCTCTGTCTTGCATATAGATCACAATTTTTTAGATAATTAACTAACTTCAATTGACTTGCACTATGTAGTGACAGGTAGGTTTTAGCTGAGTAGGATGTAGCTCAGTTGGTAGAGCATGGCGTTTGCAACGCCAGGGTTATGGGTTCAATTCCCACGGGGGGCCAGTATGAAAAATAAAAAAAATATGTATGCACTCACTAACTGTAAGTCGCTCTGGATAAGAGCGTCTGCTAAATGACTATAATGTATAATGTAAAATGTAAACCAATGTGGGATTGGTAACCATTATTTAATATTTACTCAGTAAACATCTTACAACATACAATATTCTAATTGTTCTCAAGGAACTGTGCCACTGTTCATGAATATAGGGAAAGTTAATCATTGTTTTTGAAGGACTGATAATGGGTAGATTTCCTTTGAAATAGTATCCTAATGAGTGGCGTCTCAGTTATGTATGATCATGACACTTGTTGGCTGTAGATTCAGAAGAGGGCAGCAGTGAGTTGCTTATACAAGGGAATGTTGGGCTGCAGTTGTTAATTGATAGACAATTGTTAGACCTCCTGAAGTTTCAGTACTTGGGCCTGGTGTCCTATTTATATTGAAGCTGTATGTAAAGTCTTCACTATTTTGTTGTGATCGATTTGTGAAACTTTACAGAGTAGATATGTTAAAACCGATGCTTCACTCTGAACTAGATTTGTCAATGTGCTTCTTATTGAGTAAGCCTCATATTGTAAGCAAAGAAATCAACCCCCAATTTGACACTGTTCTTTCTCTTTATTTTTAATTTTTTTAATTTACCCCCTTTTTCTCTCCAATTTTGTGTGCCGGAGGGAACACCGTTCAACTGACAACCGAAGTCAGCCTGCAGGCGGCCGAAGTCAGCCACAATGAGTCGCTAGTGCGCGATGAGCCAAGTAAAGCATCCCCAGTCCAAACCCTCCCCTAACCCAGACGACACATGGCCACTTGTGCGCTGCCTCCTGAGTGACACAGCCTGGGATTGAACCCAGGTCTGTAGTGACACCTCAAGCACTGCGATGCAGTGCCTTAGACCACTGCGCCACTCGGGAGGCCCATTCTTTCTCTATTTCATTCCAATTTTGGGTTCCTTATTTGATATAAAATATCTGCCCCATCCTCATTTCTACTCTTTCAGATTATGCAAGAGTTACAGTGAATTGGAAACCATTTCCCAAATAAATATCTTCTTGTTTTCTTTCTGAAACCTACCCTAAAAACGCCTCACACTTCTCTTGTGTCTGCTGAATGAAAACACAATGGTCAGGAGTGTAGCCTGCCTTTGGCAAAGAG